AGAAAAACAGAAAATAAGTCTATAAAAGGAATAAAATAAATAGAACCACACAAAATATATAATTAACAAATTAACAAAAGGGAAAAAAACTGTGCAACAAGTATAGGCTACGCTCGTTTTTGTGACACTCTTAATGCACTTTTTTTTTTCTTTATATCTTTATTTGATTTAATCCATCTGATCACGCAGGCTCCTCACGCACACACAAACAACATTAGTTCTAGTGTTGCTTGACTTTTCAGCCATTCATCATCAAACTAAAATGCAGTCAACCAAACATAAAAGTTACACTGTTTATTTTGAAAGGTCCGCTGTGAAATCAGCGTGCAGCGCCCAAACAAAAATTTTTGTGCATGTGAAGGATTTTACACGGATATTAGAACATGAGTGAAGTATAAAGCCTTGTTTAGGCTACATAATAATAAAGCAACCAAATGTTACAAATATGGCAAAAACGGAAACATTTCAATTCTTGTGGTATGAGACCAGCTCGTGAGCCCAATGCCGTTTCAGTTTTGCTTGATATTTGTATGTCCGTTTATAATGAATGCCACTAAAGCCTAATTTGTGTTTTATTATATAGTTTAATATATAATGTCATAACTACTTATTTTTCATTCTTGTTCTGTTCTGAATTCTGTTAAATTAAAAATATTTGTTGTACAGTGAGGGGAAGTAAATAGGCTATAATATTTATTTACCAGTATTTTAATATGAATTAAATAATTTAATGTAGCCTAATTGTTTGCAATTACAAGGTTAACGGGTGTTTTTGGAGTAAGATCAATTTCTCTTTCATGATATTACTTCCCCCTTTTGGCCAGTTTACATTTCTCAAATGACGATTGTTTTCTGCCGCCACATTTATCGACGTGCGATCATTCGTACAATGAGATTGGCGGCATACGAATGTTTCATGAATCATACGTGAACTCTGTTGTAAGTTGATTTGTGCGCACGGATCTGCGCTCGTTTCTGCATTAGATTGATAAATGAGGCCCACTAAATCTACCATGTTGGCACTGTCATGTGACCTACAACATGAGCAGTTGTGACCTAATGGTTAGAGAGTCAGACCTGTTACCAGATGGTTGCAGGTTCGATTCTCAATACCAGCAGCAAATGTAGGAGAATGAACAGCACTCTCTTCCACACTCCGTATCCACGACTGAGATGCCCTTAAACAAGACACCGAACCCCAAATTGACCCTTCTGCAGACAGGAGAGTAGATTAACGTCGGTGGACTTGAACTTGAAAAAATGTGACTTGAAAAACTTGAAAACATCCCTTCTGATGTTCATTCGTGTGCATTTCATGCTAAAACTAGAAAAGAGGAAGAAACGATCGGTTCAGGTGCCGCTTGAACTGAGGCGCTACAGCGATCTGTCACGACACACAAAACGGTATTTATTGTTTGAATTGATTAAAAAAGACCAAATTTGAAAGCTAAGACTTTTTCATACCAGAAGTAACCTGCTCTGTCTTGTCTGTCAGCGTGTTGTCGGTTTCCTCTTTGCTCCGCAATATATTTTTCACTGCGTGAAACATGGTGTGGCATGAAAGCGGCATGGCTTGTTGGACATAGCAACAGTAACTAAGGGGGGTGGGTCTTTGTGAAGGGTCAGTTGCTCCCTGGGTGCAGAGGACAAATTCTGAGTGTGGGTTAACATACTTGGCCTTTGACGTCACTTGACACGAGTTGCGTGGCTTATTTACGAATCTACTATTTACTAATCTTCTCCTATGGCCTAATAGGATGGTAATGTGTTCAATGGATGCATGCTTTAGAATCCCGCCAAAGATAGTTGGTCATCCGGGTACTTTTCACCTACTGTTTTGTGACACTGTCAATTCGGACATAGTACTGCGGTATAGTTGGGAAGTCGGAATATTTAAACCGTTTGAATCTTTTACTTTATGTGGCATGATCCTCTGGTGTGTAATATTTGAATTTACTCCCGTTAGCGCTGTCAAAAGTACCGACCACGATACCATTCGGTACTGAAATTTTAAAAACGCCCATTTCCCGTTTCTGTGCGAGCTCTCGGTGAAGAGCGTGAAGCGATGATTATTCGAAGCCAATCACAGACGTATCTGTTGAGCACGTGAACACAATGGCTGATCAGCGCCGTTTAAGAATCTGTTCAACAGCGCTCAAATCTTAGCGGGAAGTGGATGTTTTTAAAATTCCGTACTGAATGGTATCGCGGTCGGTACTTTTGACAACACTAACTCCCATACATGTGGTCCGTTTTTGTATAATGACACATTGCTTTTTTTTGTTTTGTAGGTTTTTGAAGGAAACAAGCCAAGCAACTCTATCATCTTCAAGAAACTTACTCCTTTCATGCTTGGTGCACTCGTTGGTGAGTATCAAACATGATATACCGCTACTTCCTTTTGTAGATGTCCGTTGGTTTTGTTGACCCCACATTCATGGACAATGTGATGCATTTGTTCATGTATTTCAGCCATGTATGAACACAAGATCTTTGTGCAAGGTGTGATGTGGGATATCAACAGCTATGACCAATGGGGGTGAGTCCAGATCTAAGTGTTTTCCACTTTGATTGGGTCCAGTTCAAAAGTTGCTATGAAACTGAAGTAGCGACAGATCTTTTCCTCCATATTGTGACCACCTTGTGAAAAAATTGTTTGCTTTGAGAAATCTGAAGTTTCAGGCATACGTACATTTACAGATTATTTTATCTCTCCCATCAGCGTGGAGCTCGGCAAGCAGCTGGCCAAGAAGATCGAACCCGAGCTGCAGGATGACGCGGACGTTCATTCCCACGACTCCTCCACCAACGGACTCATCAGCTTCTTCAAGAAGAACCGCTCTTAAATGTTTCCTCCCCTTTAACCCTACCTCTGCCGGCCCCCTCATCCAATTAGATTAGTGAATTATGTATTAACACTTGGCGTAGTACAGACGGTAAGCCTAGACAAGGAGGATGAGCACTTTATGTCTGTCATCTATAAGCCATGAGATTCTTGTGTGTTGTGTAAGATTTGACTCTATCATGTATCTGTGGACCAGTATGGATGACTGTATCTGTTTGCACTGCGCATTCTAGATGGATTTCATGTTCTCCTTTGGACCAAGGAACCACAATAAATGTATTATTTGTCACCTTCCTTGCCTGGCTGCATGTTCTTTTTGTTCAGCAAAATTCTCAAAGATGACAAATTAAGTGTCCATTACATAGGGTGACCATAGGTGCCATTTTCCCAGGACGCGTCCTGGCCAG